AACCGGATGTTTAACCCTCTCCACAATGCAGTCTGGATGGAACTGTTCTCCAGGACGTCGTCGGACGAACGCACCTTTGTCCACCAAAATCTGGAATGTTGATTCGTCGAAGAGGCATACCTGAAAAAATGAAAATATTTGCTGTTCACGAATTCCATTCGTTAAAAAAAAGTTGTACTTACTCGACTCCAGTCTTCAACGGTCATACTTCGGTGCTGCCCATTGGAGTCTCTTTCTCTTCATGGCTTCGGTGAGCCGTGGTTTTTTCATAGGCCGGCGATCTATCAGATTCTCTTCGGACTGTTCTTCTAGAAACATTAATTCCTTCAGTATTTATTATCGTAGTGAGATGTGTCACACTCTTTTTACGATTTTTGGGACAAATGACCCTGATTTTAGGGTCAGTAGGGGGAGTAGTGATCCTTTTCCTGCCACATTTTCCAACACGGCCCGGTTCCAATGCCTCGGTTGAATCAATTTTTATTTTAATCGATTTACTACAGACTTTAAAACACCTACAGTAGTCGCTATTACTCTTTGGGAAAGTGTAGAGTGCAGTAATATCGTTTTTATTTCTCTAATTTTTCCTGGAGACATGTCTGCAATTTTTCCATTACTAGAAAAATAAATTTGATTTTGAACAACGTTTTTAAATAAAATCGTGTCATTAAAGGCATTAAAAATGACTAAATAACAAATATTACTTACTTGTTAAATATATCTGACACGAAAATCTAGCAGAAATACTTTAAAAAAAATTTTAAACAACTTGCAAATATTTTTAAGCGTCACTGGGAAAACAACCGATAACCAACTGAGATGCAACAGCAATTATTTCATACATAAGCAGTCTTCCAGTGTTTCTGCTTATCAAAAATTTTAATAATCATATCAGAAGAACTGCCAAATATAATACAGATATGAACACCAATTTTTTTTTTGTCAAAAAAACCATTTAAAATAGAAAATACAAAAATATATATAGTGTCCCTAATAATTTGGCCACCCACTGTAAGTGATACTCCCATTTCAAATCGCAGTGTGCTTGAACAGCTAGAACAGCCCCGCTTTGAATTGTCTCAAGGCTCCCAGTGTCTCAAACCTCATCACCTTCCCCTAAACATCCGTTTAAATGTACAAGGTGATTCACGCAAAATCTTGCATAGTCCATCATCTTTATTTTTAATACAACGTCCTGTATATTTTAATGCTTTTACAATTTCCTTAATCTGATCTTAATAGTACATGATCCCACTGCAGGATCGTTATGTTCATAACGTAGTTCGCCAAAGTCAAATGTTTACATACATTTAAAATTAGGAGAATACATTGATAATAAATTGCCAGTCAAAAAGTAGCCGCAAATATTTTTAATTTAATTAATAGTATTTAATTTTTGACAAAATTTTTTTAAAAAGTATTTTTTAAATAAAATTAAAGCTAATTTTTTAAGAATATATTGATGTTAGTTTTCCTGAGAAAAATTATCTAACATTCGGGTTGCTAGCTGTTAAAAATGCAAGGTATCAAATATAAAATAAAAGACAGATAAAAGGCCAAAAAGAAACAAATACATTCTGTATATAGCGAGAAGTAAGGCAAGGAAATACAGTCTCTCCAAAGCTATTCACGACGCTTTTAGAACATACCTGTAAGAAGGCACATCTAAACGAGCATGGCATCAACATAAATGGAGAAAATCTCAGTCATTTGAGATTTGTAGATGACATCGTCCTTATAGCCGGTCGTATGGATGATACAACAATAATGTTTCAAAAATTATATCACGCTTCCTTGGAGGTTGGACTAAATATTAATATGAACAAGACGCAAATAATGACTATTCTGGTGCTAAATCGAAATATAGCTGTTAATGGAAGGTATATTGTGCAGACTACAGACTACATAGGTACCTAGGACATGAAATTCGGTTGGGCAGAGATAACCAGACATGTGAGTTCCCACGTCGCATAGGATTAGCCTGGGCAGCGTTTGGTAAATTAAACTATTTGTTTAAATCGGATCTACCCATATGTCTCAGAAGGAAAATCTATTATTAATGTATTCTCCTAATGTTAGATATATTCTAGTGAAAAAATCATTTCGATATATTTATTATCGAAGATTATAAAAAACTTTAAACGTTTGTTTTTTTATGGATGTAAACAAGTTTTTAATGACATTTAAAGCTAGTGAAAACACTACTTATATAAGCTTTATTAAAATTTAAAATAACTAAAGCCTAAGAAAACATAACCTAAATAATCTTTAACGAGTTCTCTCTCTCAAAAACACTTAATAACGAGTATTTCCGTCCATATTTTGAATTACTTCTTTACCCTGACTAGGTACTCAAAATCAAGCTTCGTATTTGATCTTTATCATTTGCATCTCACACTTCTCTCACCATAACTTCTATGTCTTTAGGAGGGACAGGTGGTGATTGTCTGCCCCTGAGTTGACGATCAATAAATTCCCACACATTCTCTATGCGATTTAGGCTGCGGGGCGGCTAGTTCATGGTTTGTATACCATACATCTAATAACTGATTGATTACGGCTGTCGCCGCTTCTACGCCCCCCAATTTCCATCTTTTTCTGTCATATGCAGTTACCTCTTCTAAGTCTCTTGCCGCCATTGCTTCATCAATATCGTTGTGCCAACTTCTTGATGGTCGTCCTCTCTTTCTTCTTTCAGGAGGGATCCATTCCAGTACTCTTCTAGGCCATCTGTTTTCAGGCATTCCTTTAACATGTCCGAACCAGTTAATTGTTTTCTTTCTATGTCATCATTGATATTTCGCTACATTTTCATTTCGTTTCTTATTTGCTCGTTTCTAACTCTCTCCAGTTTCGATCTACCGCAGCTTCGTCTCAGATAATCCATTTCTGTCGTCATAAGTTTGTTTCTATTAGCTTTGGTGACGTCCCATACTTCCGAACCATAAAGTGTAATACTTTGGACTATACTACCGTAAATGTGTTTTTTGGTTTCTCGTCGAATTGTTTTTTGCCAGAGAAGAGAGTTTAAGGCACGGGACTCTGCTCTGCCCTTGTTTATTCTTTACTTGATTTCATCTCCGCTATTTCTCTTCTTGTTGAAAATGACCCCAAATATTTGCAGGATTGTATGCCTTTGATTTTGTTGTCTTCCAAGACTAGGTCACATATTTCATCTGTTACCACTGAGAGATATTCACATTTTGTCATATTCATGTTTAGACCTGCCATCTCATATACTTCTTGCAGTTTTCTTACCATATAGCTAAGATCGTAGCAATTACTACCTAATTATCCGCAAAGAAAAGTGTATATAGCGTGTTCTCTTCCACTGTTATTCCCATGTTTCTACATTTTTTTACCCATTTTACTAAGGATTTGTCCAAATAGATTTTAAATAAGATGGGTGACAGACAGCAGCCTTGTCTTAGTCCCTTTGTTGTTTGAAAAGGAGAGGTGATTTCTTGTCCCATTTTAATTCTTGCAAAGTTTTGTTCGTAGTATTTTTGAGTGGCGTTAATAAGAATTGGGTTTATTTTCAAGTTACCCATTTCTATCCATAGTTGGGAGATCGTTACACTGTCATATGCTTTTTCCAAATCTATTAAAGCTATATGGGGTTCTCTATTTCTCTGCACTCGTTTTTCCATTGCAAGTTTTAATGTGAAAATATTATTCATAGTGGAGCGTCCGGCCTTAAATCCCTCTTGTTCTTCGGGATTTTTTGTCTTTTATATCATTTTTTATCAAGTTTCGTAGTACTTTTGAGTATAGTCGGCCTATATAGCAATTACTGCGATCACTCTATAGTTTTTAGGATCCGTCTTTGTGCCTTTCTTGTGTATTGGAGATATATACGATTGTCTTCATTCTTGTGGAACTTCTTCTCCGTTTAAGCATCTTTCGAATAATTTTCGGATCATTTCAAACAGTTTTGATGAACCATACCTAATCAACTCTGGATATATTCCACCTGGACCTGGAGATTTTCTTAATTTCATTCCCTTAACTGTTTCTTTCACTTGTGTACTAGTTTGTATCTCGAAAACGTTGAACGCCTCGTGATGTTGTATTATGAGATACTCTTAACTTCAAGCTTATTTTACGATAACTACCATAACTCTGACCCTAGCTTAGATTTCTTGAAGTACGGTCCATATCAACTGACTAACATACAGAAAGCAACAAAACAATTTACTGAATTGTAAACAGTAATGTCAATTTTTTTGATTTTTCACAGCTAACTACGTGCTTATATTCCATTAATGAATTTGACAATTCATATCGAGATGATTTTTTTACGAAAATGTTAAGAACAGATGAAGCTATCTCACAATACGAATAAGTTGTAGTATTTGTTTCTAATAAATTCTATATGGTGTTGCAAAATAAGATGAAAAAACACAACTTTGTACTCGCTGTAAAGGTTGGACAAAATATGAGTAGAAGACAATAATATACAAGCCTGACCCACCCTGGGATAAATGTCTATTTCTTCGGTCAGCCTATTTTAGAACTTAATAATAGCTGTCGGTATGAATTTAATATCATTCTTATGCTTCTCCTTTTACTTTTAGAATTTGTAACATTTTATGGTGTTGCTCTTTATCGAAAGCCTTTTCGAAATATATGAAACAACTATATACTTTTCGATTCATATCAAAGGCATTGTTTTACAAGAATATTTAATCCCAACAGGGCATTTTTAGTGCCACATGCTTGTCAAAATGTCATTTGCTTTTTACTTATTTTACTCCTCAATTAATGGGATTAAGTACACATATACATAAATATGTATAATACAGCATAGCAAAATAATATAACTTAAGATCAATTCTACCAAAAACTTTTTTTTCCGTAATGTTTGTGAGCAGTTTTTAATCCATAATAAATCAAAACAAACGCAACATAATGAATCAAGCTTGAATATTTTAGACATAAATGTAAACGTAAAGACCATTTTTGTGTAACCGTGGGTGCTTCCATTTGCAATATGTACGATGTTGAAAAAGCCCAGACAGGGTCCGAGACGGTTTTCTTCTTTGGAATGTTTATCGACGAGAATATTTTCACCCCATTCTTGCAGACAAGGAATAAGCAAGACCGAGCGACAAGAAAATGAATGGAAAGCGATCGGAGCCAAACTGTAAGTTTGTTTTTATACATAAATAGAGTAATACAGTAGTTAAAAAGAGACAATTGGTACAAATTAAATAAAATCTCAACTTTTGTTTTAAAAACTATTTAGTTTATATTTTTGATTAAGGCCTAAGAGATTTGAAATTGAAGGGGTCAATGCAAAAAGTGCCTTAGTCACAAATAGGTAATTATTGTGATATATTAAGGTTTGAAAGTTTCTTTTTGATTATAAAATATTACTGAAAATGTTATGGTCGAAATGTGTGTTGCGATTTGTTATTTTCTAAAAAAAAGTTAAATAATTTGTGACTTAGGCACTTGTGTTGCAATTTATTTCGTCGAAAATTAAAAATAATACTTATTATGTAAGAACATGCAAAATGTTTGAACAAATCTGAAGACAAAAAACTTTACGGTTCTCACTCACTTTCTAAAATTTAATTGGTTTCATTGGCTCAGAATAGGTTGCACTGAGCTGTGGTTGCTCATTAAGCGAAAATTTGATGCTTCTAACTTTTGAAATTCCCGAAACAGTTTTTTTATGTGAGAGTCTAACCATAATTTATAGTGTTTCATTTTTGTAGTACGATCGCCTCTTACCAGGCATCCATTTCAGCTCAGCGAATGCTGTACAAATATGACATTAAATGGTTTTTTTCTGAAATTTTTTATCAAGTCCAAAGAAAATGCAAAAAAGTATTTTTGAAGTGTGTATATTTTAGGCAATTCCTAGCTGAGCGCTTTCGGCTTTACAAAGCCATCATCAGAGCTATGCTACAATAAAATGTTCTTATAAGTACTAATTGGTAAAGATTATAATTTTTAACTTACGTCAATTTTTTAAATACCACTACAAAGGAGAGATCTCATTTCCTTATATTTCAAAATTATGATTTTTTTAGTTGTTGAAATTCTTAAAACATATAAAAAACATATAAAAAAGCCGACACTGGACTTCACAAACACGTTAAAAAATTGAAAAAAGTTTTTGTCATGGTACGGGTGTGAGAACCCGACCATTGATTGATGTGAGGAGGTAGACAGAATAGAACTAATGAAATCAAATGTCGGTCCTTTTAAACGATTTTTCAAAAGTGACAGTTGACAAATGTCATATATAGGAAATAGAGATTGTTTTTTAAATTCTTACAAAATTATTTAATAGTTTGGAATTACTAATAGTCATCAAAGACTTTCTAAAAATTAAGTTTTTAAATTAAATTTTATGTGTTCATCACATCATACAGAATGACATTAGTTTGTAAATTCACTCAAGTCATTGCTCAAGGTCAATGTATGTTCAATCTGACAGCCATCCTTAAGAAACAAGGGCTCAAATTGTTCAACAACAATATAAAGAAGAAACATGGTATTAATGTTACGTTATCTGATACTTAAGTGTATTGAGAATTGTATCTTTGATGGAAATTTGTAAGAAATTTGCATAAAAATTTTTTAAGAATGTATTTTCATGTTTCAATTAAGAATAACTGTCAAATGAATTACAAAATGTTGTAAATTTCTAATAAAGTTTAAAATTTGTTTAAAAATATAAAAGTATGAAAAATATATAATAAGATTGCATGAGGTCACCCTTCTTCCTCTAAAGTCTCCCATAATAATTTAAAAAGAGGTTTATAATTGCAATTGAGGTTGATTTGTGTGTTTAAGCAACAATCAGGGTTTAGTTTCATTTCTTTGGATATCTCAAGATCTTCCAAGAGATTCATGAGTCTAAAGTTTTTATTGGGAATGTTGTGTAAAATTTTACTGTTTTCAGAAGGAGAAAAGGAATGATTATTAAATTTAATGTGATATCCAAAGTTTGATTTTTCTGGGTTATTGAGGTGTTCTTTGATTCTTTGATTCAGAGTTCTCATTGTTCTACCTACATAAGTCATATTACAGTCACCACAGGACAGCTTGTAAATACCACTTCTGTTTAGTTTGTCAACTTTGTCTTTGGTCTTGCTGAAGATGGACTTGATGTTATATTTGGTTTTAAAGGAGATGTTTAAGTCACTGATTTTATTAACAAGTACTCTTGAAATTTTTTCTGAAATTGGTCCTAAGTAAGTTAAGGATCTATATATGGAAGTAGTGTTGGATTTTTTATCAACATTAAAAGCTTGGTTTAGTCTCTTTTTGAGTATAGATTTTCTAATGACTTTATCAACAGTAGTAGAAGGAAAACCATTGTTGTTTGCTATCTGTTTAATGATGGAGATTTCTTTATTGTAATTTTCTTGAGACATAGGGATATTAAGAAGTCTGTGGACATAACATTGAATAGCTGCCATCGTGTGTTGAAAAGGGTGATTTGAGGATGTTGGTATCATATGGTCAGTTTGAGTAGGTTTTCTGAATATTGAAAATTCTAGTGTAGGCAAAGAAGAAGAGGAGGAAGCATTCTTTTTGATAGTTAGGTCTAAAAAGTTGATAATGTTGTTGCTTTCTACTTCTATGGTGAAATTAATTGCAGGATGTACATTATTAATTATTGACAAAATATTGTGAGGTTCTGAAGGTGGGCCTTCTATAAAGGCTAAAATGTCATCCACATATCTGTACCATAGGATTATTTGTGGTTGAGAATGAACAAAGTTAGTTTCGAGAGAGTCTAGAAAAAGATCTGCAAGTAGAGGAGATAAAGGATTTCCCATTGCTAAACCCTCTGGTTGTCTATAAATTTTATCGTTAAAGATAAAGAAATCTTGGGAAAGGCAAAATTGGAGTAGAGAAGTAATTTGTGAACATTTGTTTTGGTCAATGTTTTTTCTTTGTAGAAGGTTATTGATGATTGGAATGGTGTCTAATCTGGGAACATTGGTGAACAGATTTGTTACATCAAAAGAGACCATAGTGAAGTTATTCGGAAGAGTATGTGAAGAAATTTTGGAGATTAAATCTAAAGTGTTGGCAATAGTATATTTGAGAGTGTAATTAAGTAGATCTAGTAGAAGAGTGTTGTTAAATTTTGCTAGTGAAGCTAGTGGGACCGACATTTGATTTCATTAGTTCTATTCTGTCTACCTCCTCACATCAATCAATGGTCGGGTTCTCACACCCGTACCATGACAAAAACTTTTTTCAATTTTTTTAACGTGTTTGTGAAGTCCAGTGTCCGCTTTTTTATATGTTTTTTATATGTTTTAAGAATTTCAACAACTCAAAAAATCATAATTTTGAAATATAAGGAAATGAGATCTCTCCTTTGTAGTGGTATTTAAAAAATTGACGTAAGTTAAAAATTATAACCTTTACCAATTAGTACTTATAAGAACATTTTATTGTAGCATAGCTCTGATGATGGCTTTGTAAAGCCGAAAGCGCTCAGCTAGGAATTGCCTAAAATATACACACTTCAAAAATACTTTTTTGCATTTTCTTTCTTCTTGTCATAAGTGTGTACAAAAAATATCAGTCTTTTGATTGTTAATTTTTTATCAGATTATCGTAAACTTCAATGTTGTCAACTTTGTCGTAATTCAGTCTTATCACAGCGATATCTCGATCGACTCGCATCATACTGTGACCGGGTATTGGATATCAGATTTCTATAGCTTCAAAAATATTATTAGAACAAAGCTGATCCAAAAAGACAAACAAATATCTATTTTTATTCTGGCTGAAGCATTTGTCGCAAAAAAGTTTTAAATAACGTTGTTCTGGCTTCTAATTTTGCGTAATATAGTCCTGCAGGCAAGTAATAACCTCGTTTGGTCCCTTTTGAACGAAGTGTTCTGCATGCATATACATATTGGCTTTTTCTTTCGTTAAGCAAGGTATTCTGAAATTATGAATCTACAACTGAGGCAAATGGTATTCGTCCTCAATATTCGTTACAGGAACAGACAATTTTTTTTTAATAATCTAAGCAAATTTATAGGACGGAGGGATCATTAGCTTTTGCTTCTTCCGAAATTTTCTTTTGAAACATTTCAGCTTTTCTTAGGTGCAGCTATCTTGTTACCTTTAGGGTTTGTGTCGATATCTCATCATGTATCACGTCAGCGTGTAAACGTATCAGAAACAGAGTGCATATGTTGTATTCTTTTGTAAACATTCTTCTAAATATCTCATATGACCATTATCTTGATTCTTTTCTAAGAAGTTTCAATAAATTTTAGCAACAGATAAGTGCCACTTTGACATATAAGGTTAAAGAAATTACGCCACGATGTCGAAGAATGGGAGCGGATCCAATTTTAACACATGATGAAGAAAAAATTTTAGTCTAATGGATATTTTCGATGGCTAAAGCCGGATTTCCTGTTGGAAAATATACTTTACTACTTTACTAGAAAACATCTAATCATACAGTTAAAACGTAAAAATCCATTCACAAAGAATAGGTCCGGAAGGAGATGGTATGAGCTTTCTAAAACGACATAAAGAAGTACTGTACGCAGATCTTCAGTAATAAAAGAAAATATCCAAACATGGTTTAAAGAAGTATGCGAATACTTAGATAAAAATGAACATGGGTTCATTCTAGAGGATCCTTCCAGAATTTTTAATAGTGATGAATCTGCTTTTTTCTTAAACTCGAAAGGAGGGAAAGTCCTAGCGCGGAAAGGAGACAAAACTGTGTACCAGGAAGTTAACAGTGACGAGAAGGAATGCCTGACCGTCTTGGTTACCGGTAACGTAACTGGCCAGGTACTACCGCCTATGGTAGTGTTTAGGTACGACAGGATTCCGAAGGAAATTGCTATGGATATTCCTCCAAACTGAGGAATAGGAAAATCGGATTCTGGGTGGATGTCTGATGAAACTTTTTTTGAGTTTATAGCGAATATTTTTCATCACTGGCTAGTGGACAACAACATCAAGTTACCTGTTATACTTTTTGACGGACATGCTTCACATCTTACGTTGCATACTAGTAGGTTTTGTGCAGAGAACGGCATAATTCTTACGGCCCTTTTTCCAAACGCAACCCATTTGATACAGCCCATGGACGTTGCCGTTTTTCGCACTCTTAAAGAGGGATGGAAAACTAAAGTACTTCAATGGCGAACTGACAACCACGAGTCTCCAATTTTCAAAAAGTCCATTTTTGTCCTTTACTAAATACGTTGTTACAAGAGAGGCTAACTCCTTCCATACTCCAAAACGGATTTAAAAAATGTGGGTTAGTGCCTTTGAATCCTCAAGAGATTACCATACCATGTGAGATAAAATTAAAGAGTAAACTCTCTGATGACAGTCGAGCTTCAAAAATAATTGAAGAGCTAGCACTAGGATTGAAATGTTTGGAAAAATATATTCAACCTGAAAAACTTTTACAGTTTAGAAAGATTGAAGAATGAAATGGAATAAAGAAGATGTGTCACTTTTTTGTTTTTATAAAACAATTGCCTATGATTATCAGGCAAAATGTGCTACATTACAAAACAAGAAACCGGAAGAGGAGAGAAGAAACTGAACAAGATAATGACTGTAAGAGTAAAGAAAATAATAAACAGAAAAAACAGCTAGAAGAAATCGCCAACAATTCTGTAGATGAAATATATGACGTGACCACCACACCAGATGTAAGTACATATGACACACTGTCAAAAAATTACAGACACAAGCGGTGATTTCTTCAACTTTACATGATAGCATTCCAAATACTAATGTGATTCAGTCAACGCTTTATTTTGAAGGTCCCGCGAGTTCACGTGACATTGATCCACCTAGTATTTTAGAAATTGAGAACCCGTCAGTAACGACGCAAGCCCCTTCACCAAATGTCTCAAATGTTATAATACCTTCTTCTTTTAAAAGAGTTTTCTATTGGCCTCAGCCAAAACTACCAAAAGGAAAAAACAGAAAAAGGGAGAAAATACCACCAGTGACCTCCTCCAGACAGTGGAACGAATATCATGAGAAAAAGGAAAAAGCTAAAGTGGAACATGAGGAGATCAAGCAAAAAAGAGCTAGAGAAAGGCTCGCTAAAAAAGAAGAACGTGAACTACTAAAAAGAAACAAAATAGAGCAAAAGAAAAGCAGATAAGTTTTAATCTGAGGAACGGAGTGGATATTTCTGAAAAAACCAAAGGTAATTATAAAGAAGGCGACTATGTATTAGTTGAGTTTCCAGGAGAAAAAAGAGTTCATAAATTCGTCTGTGTTATTCAGGAAGTTATTTCTAAAACTAAAGCTGAAGTAGTAGCAATGATTTGCTGTAATATGGAAAAAACTTGCTTCAAACTAAATGCAGATGATGTAAGTGTCATTGATTTTAAACAAATAAGAGAAAAGCTTGATTTCCCAAATATGACAGCTGCAGGTGATCGACTAAAATATGAATTTATCAAGCCATTAGATGTTAGTGGATAAAAATGTTTCAGTGTCAACTACTAGATCATTATTGTGACAAGCACTGGTGACAACAACTTTTTTTAGTGTCAACTACAGGGACATTTGCAGCTCCAAAATTTTTTTTATTTTTCTGAATAATTTTGATGTTGTCATTAACCTAATTATAAACATATTATTTTAGAAGCATCATATTACCTAAGTTTTATTAAAGTTTTTGTGTTTTCAAATAAATGCGTCGTTTATATCCAAAATTTGTGTTTTTTATTCTTAAGGTGTCAATAACTGGCACATTTACTGTAACTATAAAGTTAATTTGAATATGGAAACGTATTAAAAATTGAACCTCCGATATCAATTTCCTAACTAGCAACCACTAGTATGTTTCCGTTGTTATTATTCTTTGCAAGTAATTGTAATTGTATATTATTTTTTGTAATTGTACTAATAAGTCTGTGATTCTGGCTTCAGCTATTAATACCACTGTAATAAAAAACATAAACTGGATAATCTTTGTAAGTAATTGTAATTGTATATTATTTTTTGTAATTGTACTAATAACTCTGTGATTCTGGCTTCTGCTATTAATACCACTGTAATAAAAAACGTAAACTGGATAATCTTTCAACAACATAAATGAAGATAGAGATAATCAATTACACGTTTTTCGAATTTTAGCTTCTGAAAACAAGTGATTATTAACCTACAAAGCGTACATCCTCCAAAACGTTTTTCCTGCGCTTTAAATGTTACCCTCGCCCAACGACCTAATTTCCCTTCTATTTTAATTAACTTTTGAGATGTTATCCTTGGAAAGACATACTCACTTGATAAGTTGACTTCTCATGATTCGACTTCAAAGCCGTCGAGAAAGTCGGACCGTCTTTACTTGAGGTTGCCGGGAAACGACTACGGGACAGCAGTTTATTCGTTTTCTGAATTATTGAGACTACTTTACTCTCCTCTATGAAGATAAACAACTTGTTAATTTGGAATCGAAGTTTCTGGAGTTCGAGGACTACGGACAACTCTTGAAAGAGATGCGGGCAAAAGCTCCCGGTCCTTTAGTGTTATGGCAATCGGAAGTTTGAAAGGATTTACTGACATGAAATGAGATGCCTTCACAACTTTCATATATAGACTAATTAGGTCATTGTACAATGATATGTTCATTAAATTAGACGCAAATGTAAGATCTTAATCTATTAGTTAAACAAAACCATTAAATAATATGTTTTTGTGTGCGTTTAATGTGCGTGTAAACCATCACAAATAGTCTGCATTCGAACATAAGTGCCAATAGGGTCGAAGGCTTAAAAATAGAAATTACTAGAAATACAACAATAAGCTACTATGATGAACTCTTAAATAAGGGGGTTAAAGTCTTGTATTTAGAAATTTTCAATTTCTTCTTTTCCCCTTTATAAGTAATTCGGCTTGTTCATTGGCCTTTATAATACCTTCATGGAAGGTATATAATCTTCATAATACTTCTATGGAAGGTTGTCATCTACCTTCATCTTTTGCGCGGCCGTCCGATATGTCTTTTTCCAATTGGTGACTTATCTCTTGCTATTTTGGCGATACGAGTCTGCTCCATTCTGCTTATATGGTTATTTCATTCTTGTTTGCTGTTTTGTGTCCATTTATTTATACGCTTTACGTTATATTTTCTTCTAATGTCTTCACTTCTCTTTCGATATCTCGTATTTCCTGTAATTCTTCTCAGTACTAAATTAAAAATTAATGGGGAAAACCCCGTAATTGGCTGTATACCATCGTTTAAAAAACACAGAAGTTAAAACACTTCACAATTGTGTATTTTGGTATAAAAACATACAAGTACTTAAAAACTTTTTAAAAGTGTCGTCAACATTTAAAATTATGGCAGAACGTTTTCAATCTATACAGTTCATCTTCAGTGCCTTTGGTATTTGGTGCTAACAATAAGGTGTCTAAAAGACTTCCATGTGTGGATTTAAAAAATATATCACATTTTACATTTAGTAATGTTGAGAGTCTAGGTCGAGGACAATGGAATTGTTTTTAAATTAAATTTAAATTTAATTTAAATTAGCTCCGAATTAGTTCACTACATTTTACTACTTTGGTACGCTTTTGTAAGTTTCGTTTTAGTTAATAAAATTCGATAATGTAATTATAATATACCTCTTTCAGTATGAATGTAGTTTTAGTAAAACTCTACTTACCTTTATGTAATCTTGTAATGTGTCAATAAGAGCATCGTAGACTTCCGGAATAATTTGAGAAATTGCTTGTTTTGAAATTTTGAAGAGATACATCAGTGAGTGATACGAATCTCCACTACATAAAAATCGTAATGTCACAGCGAGACGCTCCTTTGTTGTAATGGCATGTCTACAATGGTGTCTTGCTTACAAATTTTTGGCCCGATTTTTTGCAACAAATATTCACTTTCCGACATTCGAAAAAAATTTCTGAAACCTCCGTTACATCTGTATTCAAGGTTCAATAGATCGATATCATCCTTTTTCAAATTTTCCATCAGGTTACTACCGCTATACCGATTTCTACTTTGAAGGCTTGGTCGAACCCAAAATCTTCTTTTACGCGATGATTTACGTTTTTTAGTTGTGATAATAACAAATGCGGCACAAACAATAATGGCGTCGTCTTCGTCACACATTTTCGTTTCGACTGTCGACAAATATTCTGCCTACCTGGTGTGGACATCGAAGCTTTTTCGATTTGTCGGTCGACAGTGTCGATAGACAGAGTCGATCGACAATGTCAACTCAATGAGGACGCCGCTTAACATTCAAACTCGCATCTTTGCAAGGTTTTCACTTGTTGAAAATCTGGGAGACCTTGCAGTCTTGTGATTTTCCTCCCCTGCTGGATCTTGGTTTCCGAGTTACATGACCAGTAGAGTGTTTGGTTATATTTTTGTTAGTCATGATGATTAACTATGAATACTCTGTGTGCCTCTAATGCTTGGATTCCCGTTGCCTTATGCATTTCTATCATATTCACAAGTTGATATAAGGTTAAATGCTCGAATAAATTAACTTTGATAAAATGAAAGGCAGATATCGAGCACTGTTTTATTAATTAAATCTTGCCCAAGTACTTTCTCTTCCTAGAGTATCTTCAGGGACATTTCGTCGGGTTAGTTGGGCTATCCAACAATTGCAGAATGTCATAAACTTAAAATTAAAACTATAATTGAACATAACACTACACTAAAAAAGGACAAACAGCTTAAAGTTATTTAAAAAATAATGGAAGCTATATTGTGGTCGGCAACACGAGAGAGATTCTCTCTCCTGTTTCCGACCAGAATGTAATGGTTCTTCTTCTTTTTAAAGTTTTCTGTACTTATTTGATCTTCTATTTGTTTTAACTAAATAGTGATCACTTACTACGTTTGCTCCTCTAAGAAACCTAACATCTAATAAGTTACAGCAGTGTCTTGCATCGATGATTATATGATCTATTTGGTTAATCGTTTCATTATTAGGAGATTTCCAAAATCCCTTATGTATATCTTAATGAGGAAATCATGTCCCAGCTATTACCATGTTCTTAGACATAGCAAAGTTTATGATTCTGAGATCCTTGTTATTCGAGTCTACGTGTATGCTCTCTTTTCCGATGGTGGGCGAAAATATATTCTCTCTTCCGACTTTGGCATTAAAGCCTCCTGCTATTATTTTGAAGTCACTTTTCGAGCACTCATCGTAATTTCGGTCTAGTGCCTCATAGAACATGTCTTTTTCATCATTCTCTTTTTCTACCGTTATAACGTGGATACATCTCCATGCCATTTAAAATTTCGTAAGCCTTTAGAAATGGTGTTCCATTTCTGGGACAAGAAGGTCCCCTTTCACTTACCGACTCTTCCACCCGAAGCTGTTGTTCAGTAAGTGAGGAATTGCTTATACCGACAATCACTTGTACATCAGAGCCTCGTTTGGTTGTAATCTTGCAGGATGTATATTATCTCACGGGCAGGTTAGTTTGACATTTGGATAGGAGAGACTATACGATGCGCATAAATATTCCTCACGTCCTAGACATGCCGTAAAGATACATTTGTCAAAAACGTTTTATTTTAAATAAATTGGGATTTTTGGTTCTTTTATAATAAATCTTAATGTACCTACTGCTACATTATTCTTATTGTAATTTATGCTGTTTGATTGTGTTTCCCTGGCTTCATTTTATGTCCCAAGTACACATCTTCGTCTACAGTTTTATTTTAATATCATTAAGAGTGTATCCACTTTTTCAGTTAATATTACTTAGTTATTTCAATAATAATTTTTAGTTCCACTTTCTGTGAACATTTTTTGCAACTCCTCCACACAATTGCTAATTAGTACAATATAATCAGCAAATTGCAAGTAATATAAGTAGCGTCAATCTATGGTTATACCATTTTGTCCCCATTCTAGGTCTTTAAAAATATCCTCTAAAGGCCCGTTTTCACGCTACGTCTTATTGTACGTTTTGTTGGATAGGACAAATCCCATACAATAAAACGTGGCGTGTAAACAGCAAAACGTACGTCTTGTCGGAAGGAAAAACTGTAGTGTGTATACACTGGAAAAAAACGTACGTTTTGTCGTACGTTTTTATATGACCAACAAAACGTACAATAAGACGTAGCGTGAAAATGGGCCTTAAGGCGTGTAATTAACTTACACAATA